CAGTCTAAGATCATCAGGGGCTTTAGAGGCCATATCAACACCTGGAACTCTCTGTCACATTGTTCAAACCGGTCCTGCAGAGTTTTTACAGTGCAGGTGGCGCATTATTATATTGAGGCCACATCAACAATGGATGAAGGTATGTGTCAAAGTAACATCCACTTCAATGCAGGACCCAAGGATTCCTGGCAGAACAGATCCAGAGCACCACACCGTCGCTGTTGGCTTATGTTCTTCCCACAGTGTGCCCTGCTGTTATCTCCCAGCTGTCCACGTGATGAAAAAGAAAACCTGATCCATCAGACCTTTTCACCTTCTTCCACTGCTTTATATTCCGGTTCTGACACTCACATGCCCACTGTCGGTACTTTTGGCTGTAGACAGGAGTCAGCATGACCAGTCTGTGGCTACACAGCCCCATAAACAGCAAGCTGTGATGCACCACGTTCTAAATCCTTTCTATCGTAGCCAGCATTAACAATTTCAGCTATCTCTACGATAGGTTTTCTGTGGGATCGGACCATTTGGGCAAGCTTTCCCTCCCCACACACACACTGGGCACCTGTGTATACAATTAAATGTATTATGATTAGATAAAATTGCAACATTCACTGTATGTGGTTTTGTTTTCTGTTTTGTAGTAGAGCAGTTTCATTTTTGTTTAGTCGTCTCAGTTTTTGTTGGTTGGTTTGGTCTCTGTCTTGTGTGTCTAATTGACATTGAGTCAGTGCTAATCTGAGCTACGGTACCACCTGTACTGGTCCCACTGAGTATGTAGAAATAAAACAGCTGGGATATCATTTGTTAACAGCAAAAAAGGCACTTACACTGTAATGTCGATATCTGTGCTCAGCCATGTAAGTTAATAAAATAGAAAAAAATAAATAAATTTACTCCTGACTGATTTGCACCTGACCAGTATCTGGAGCACAACTGCATGGAACTGTTTTTTTTGTTTGTTTGTTTGTTTTTTGATTGACTGATCAGAGGACATTCTTATTTCTGTTAACACTCCATTTGAATTATTTACCTAATAATATTAATTAGTCACTCACTGAGTAGTCTGACTAATTTTTTGCAGGCTTCTGGAACCATGAGCCTGCCACTGGTCACTCATTTCAGTCTGCTTTGTCCTCTCCTTCCGCTATCTGCACGTTTCCATTTTCAAAATCCACTTTGTTACAGGAAACAACAACAACCTCTGGGCTGCAACCTACACACAGGGTTTGAGAAGGATTCAGATGTTGCAGTAAGGAGGCACGGCGAGTTTTTTGGTTGTTTTTCTTCTGTGAAATATCCATTTTATGGCAGTGCTCACCTCCCCACATGCAAATGTTACACTAAAACATCCGCCTTTACTACTTTGAGGGAACACTGAAGCCACATCCTTTGCTTATCTTTGCCCAAGACGATTGTGATTGGTTGACTGAAGTAGAAACAAGCCTGTGTTTGTTTGTTTGTTTGTTTTTTTTATCATAGAGAAGAATAAGGATGAGGTGCAGTCAGATCATTATGTAGTACAGAATGGGCTGGCTAAGCAAGTCTTTTTCTGTCTTTTGTTAAGTCTTGGGACTAAACCAAGTATTTTTTGCTTGCCTACATGTTACCAACCTTATTTAGTGAGAATATTCAATCAGAAAATGTTCATACTGGTAATTCTGGGAATAGTCATAATGGTCTCTGAGAAGGCACTGACAAACAATCTGTTTTCTTGTTTAAGCGTGGGGACTGCTATAAACAAGTCAGTGTTTGAATCAAATGTGCTGACTTTTACATTGGAGCCCGTTCCTTCCCTGAATGGGTCTCCATGCTGAGTAGCTAGATGAGCCTCCTGAATTTGCAGCAAAACTGCTGTCAAAGCTCTCATTAATGATTTCCACTGCAGCCTTCATAATTCTCAAAAACAGACTGTATATCTTGACCCAGATGGAGGGAGGGTTTAGCAGTGAGGGGGGGTGGTGGGGAGGTAAGGAGAAAAAAAACCCACACAGAATCTTTCAAAATAAAACATATTTGCTAAGACTACTGAGATGTGGATTCGCAGGAGACTAGTGCTATCAGATGGCCTCTGTATTTGGTGGAATACACATAATGAGCGCTGTTTCATGGGAGAAAACAAGGTTGGGGGAATTGATTGTGTGACTATATGCTGCTATATTTTTGGCTCACAAAAAGTCTTACAACTACTCTGCTATTGTATTTTTCCAACTGTAGCATTCAAAATGCCATAAATCCCACTTCTTTCTCATCTGTACTGTGAAATGCAGTGTGAGCCCTGCAGTATGCAGGCTGGCCAAATTACTGAGAACGGACTCTGGTTATCTGTGAGTCCTGGAATCAGCTGTTTATATTAAACATATGCCTGAGTGTAAGCTTCTCCTCTCTGTGCAGCACATGTTAAAACTTCTCCTGCCTTGAATACTTCATGCCCAGCACTCAATTCATGTAAGAGAGCAGAGCGGCAAAGCTACAGCTAATCATTGCTTTATTTTTTAGTAGCCTTCCTTGATTGACAGTGTACAGCTTTTGCAACACAAGTGTGCCAATCCGAATTTGAATAAAAAAGTTGAAGATATAATGAATTTGGGAAGAAGCAGGGAGCCAGACCACATGAGTTAGACAGGAGCAATATTGGCGACTTTAAAAACTGCACACTCACAACTATAACTCAGAGTTGGAGGCGGTTGAACAACCAGCCATTGCTATTGATTTATTGACTGTCCATTTAGAACAGAGCATCAGCCTCCAGCTGAGCTGTGGAGCTGCTGTTATCAAGTAGAAACTTGTGAATTATGGTTGTGCGATGTATAGATGGACTCTTGCAGGTTGCTGTCACGTTAAGCTACACTTTAGTTTTTCAAACCATTAGATTCATGGGTCATGAATGGTTGTCGCAGAAATCATGATAATCCCCTCATCACCCTCTCTTAACTCTCACAGTTCTATGCTAATGAGGGCCTAGGGCAGATATCTTGTGAGAGCTTCTTACCGTTAATAAAATAATCCCAATCTCATCTGTAAATCCGTCTTTATCAATCAAAGATCTTTATCTTTTCTCTAATCTAATCCCAATTCTGACGTTAGATTTTGGAGGGATAAGACTTGGGAAAATGTGAGTAGTTTTTCTCAACCTTTTATCCATATTAAATACATTTCCGCATTTCAACAACAGAAGCGCAACAAAACAGATGGATCTCTAATTTTCTTCTGATTTAAATAAAACAACCACATTACAAGCCCTGCAGCTACAATTAGCGCAATGAGTCTCTCATGGCTTTACATAGCTACAGCAGCTGGTCATGAAATATACTTTCTTATTTATTTTTTAGGATTTGCACGCATCTACCCTCCCTGCCCCTGCCCCTGCCCCTCATTATGACACAGTCTGAATCTCCAGTGATTTTTTCCCTATAAAACTAAATAGCCTCAGCCGCAGCCACCTAGGGAATACAGCGTAACATGAACCCCCTTCCCCATCTTAACACTTTCATCTGGAATGTAATTAGCGCAGCAGCAAGAAGCTTAGTACTGCGCCCTGCACTCAGCCCCAACCAAGGTAACTCTAGGCAGCCCCTAATCCTCACAGCCTAATGGGATTAGCTCTGGAGGGAAGGGAACCCATGTCACACACACAAATACATTCAGAATCCAAACCTCTCCTAAGCTGTCTCACTATCCATCTCTCTTCCTCTCTCTGTGCCATTCCCCTATCAGTCTAATAGGATTAGACCAAAATTGGCCATTTCTTCAAAATCACATCTGGTCCACTCAATGTCATCACATCGATGATTATAGGATGGAAATAAGAAGCTTTAAATTATGGCTTATTCAGTGTATAAGTGTACTACACTGAACGTCTGCGAGAAGGGCCTAATTCGGAACTGGGTCTAATTTTGCATTTGGTTTCAGTGGAGTGTTTGGCCAGTTGTCAAAATTCCAAAATATCAACATAAAACTGGCTCATATGAACGGGACATGACATGAGTGAGAACATGACGTGATAGCAGGAGGTTGTATATGATGAAAGAGATTAAAAATGTCATTCTCTGTTAAAAGATCATCTTTGTCACTGGACACTAATGTTCACTCTGACTAGTGGGACCTAAGCTGGTCGTTTCTAAGTTACTATTGCTTTGTTACAAAATCAATAAAAGAAAAAAAAAAATGTAATTCCAGTGACAATTCTAGTAATGGGACCAATTTTCAGCTTCAGTTTTTCTCTTTCGCATTTGCTCCATGAAGTTCAGCTGTAATGTTGTTTCATTATGTTACTATTCTCAATTAAAAGGCTTTTTTTAACCATTATTGGGTAGCATCTGACCCGTACTCAACTGATGTCTGGGGTGGAATTGCAATTGACCCAGCCACCAATTTCAGTTGAAATAACTTAACCGCGCTGGTCTAAATGGAATATAATTGGAAAATGTAGCCAGCGCTATGAGAGAGCAGACTACACGTGATGTGTCCTTGGCCAGCTGCTTTGGTTGCATAGATACTGTATGTGACATGCACTACAGGCTGCTAACCCAAAGCTCCACATCCAACTTGATGACCAGAAAATGACAGACACGCACAGATGTGCAAATACAAAACTGCACACAGCAGCAACAGTACAGAGCCTTTCCAAATCACAGCTCCATCTCAGATCCCATCAGGCTGATGCTCTTGATCGAAAGCCCGGCCGCAGAGACCCTGAGGTGGGTTAGAGCTCTGCCAACAGCTGGATCCTTTCCAGCACCCCCATGTCTTACTCATGGAGACCCATCGGCTCTCATCACTCATCAGACAGACTCCCCCGCAAACAAGCGCCAATACACATGTATGCACGCATATACACATACACACACACAAGCACGCACGCACGCACACACACGCAGAGTAATCAAGGAGATCAGGCAAAGTGAAACTCGATCTGCAGAAAACAAGCTAATCAAATTTGCTTCAATATGATGTGCAGTCAGGATGTGTGAGTGTGGCTGTATGTGTGAAGATGTGTGTACCTAATCCAGGTCATGAGCTCCACAGTGTCTGGATCATAAAACTCCCTCAGTTCTGATAACTCCTCCATCACCTTAGGCCAGAACTATAGGGAAGAAGACAGATACAAGCGACGGAAAAGCCCGTGTTAGCGTTCATGAAGGCCATAAGTATCAAATTTACTACTATATCTTAAATAATGTCTCATTACTTCACTGAATATAACTGTGTATATATATGGCAGCCATTTAGAATCTTCTAACGGCAAAATAAATAAAAAGAGAAGCAATCCTTTCAGTAGCCTGTAATGATCCAATTGCAGTCAGTCCAATCATTTTTTTTTGTAGCTTCCATTTATGCATTTTCCTTCCCTCGTCTCGTCCCGTACACTTTATACAAACTGACTGGGCTCTGTAATGACACCACCACTACAGCAATGAACATAAACCACCAGTAAAATGGCATACCTTATAATACAGGCAACCGATCATCACCAATGGAACGGCATATCTGACGAGCCTTAACTGCAAAATGAGAGAAAGAAAACAACTATAATTAAATGAAATGAAAGAACATAACTGCATCGGGGGAGGAAAAGTAAGAGTCAGACAGAGATATACCAAAAGAGAAAAAAAAACAAAACAAAACAGAAGACAAGCACAGAATGAGATAACACAGAGATAACAGACAGATAGAGCAGCTTTGCCTCAAAGTATAATTTATTTGATCCCTGCTGTTGTCATGTTATGACCACACTGACACCTAGTGGGCCTTACTGGCAATGTTGTCACCCGCTTAGAACAGAGGTTAGATGAGGCATGCTGGTTCATCGTCACATCAACCCAGCTAATAAGATATAAAATTTGGAAAAATACGAAATCTTTCATGTGTATCTCAGATAAAGCTCCCAAAGTTAAGGATCGATCTTGCAGTAATTTGAGGCCGATGATGGGCATCATGTTCACTATCATTTGAAGTTGGCATCAAACCTCAGAGCAGACCAATATGTAAGTTTTGAGTGTAAACAAAGCTATATTGAAAAACTAAACCATCACTTATTTTAGGTGTTTGGCAAAATGTGTTTATGAAAGCAAAACACATTGTTATAAATCGCTCCAAAACGAAGGTCAGAATAGCTGTCCTGTTAATAGCAGCTTGTTCAGTCCAGTCCCCTGAGCAGAAATGAGCTGGTTCATGATCCTTTCCCACTTGCTCAAAATATATTTTCATGAAGTGCACTTGAATAGGGATGCTCCTGTCTGCTTATCCAGTGGCCAGGGGCGTCGCACAAACCGAACCTTTGCCAGCAGGCAACAGTGTCTGCTCATGTGGGGGTGTGATAGTGCGGAGCTTAACATATGTGCATCATTTCATAGATTCAATTATGTGAGATCCTTGTAGCAAATGTGTACATGTAGCATATGATGTTATTGTGACAAACACTTTACAATTTACACATCCATCAGACACTGAGAGACATGAGGGCTGCATAAAGTATTGTTTCAGTATCAACAGTGTGATGTGCATGTGTACAACAGTCACATTACAGAAGTATGATGTGAACTCAAACTAACTCAAACACAATATGTTACAGCTCCTTTTGCTGCTTGATACGAAGAGAAAACTCACATGATTCTCATTTTCCATGACCAATCTACAAGAGCAGTCTGATAGAGCATAAGTTACTCAGATTTAAGGATGTCTTTATGTAAAAGACAGTTTGCTGACATGCAGGCTCCACATGTGCACAGCCCAGTGAGCCAAAAACATGAGAGAAACACTGAAAAGGAGACTTGGTTTCAAAACAGAAACACATCAGTTGTATGGAAATATTTCAGCTCCCGTAAAAATGAACACAGGTAGTTTTCTCGGCAGCGTCTTGCAATTGTTGCTACTGATCATTCAAATCAGAAGCACAAAGCTCTTTATGATGAGTGCAAAGTCAGACCTGAATGCCATCCAAAGCAAAAAAAAAAAAAAAACTACTCTGGATGCCTTTCCCAGTGTTCTGGCTGGCTTTAATCAGTCTTTCAAAAATGATTATTTTCTATGCAGATGTACTCCTCTGCAGAATCAACCTAATGATTCCAGAATGATTAATTCTTTCCAAATAGAGTTATTCAAGTCATCTGGGGGAAAATTCCTGTACTTTTTTCATTTCGCAAAATCTCATAATTTCAGTTTTTTTTCTCCGAAATCGTGCAACTCTAATTAGCATTAATTGGGAGTGATTTTTTTGGGGGGCAACAACACCAAAACAATGAGTGAAAGGAAACTAATCTCTGTAGAACGTTGGATGATTGCAATCAGGGGATTTCAGTCATGGATAATACAAGAAATATTGATTAGAGCAGTAAATGTGGAACGAAAGCCGTAACGTTCTGTATGGCTGAATGTAGTTTTCAGCCTCAACAACCACAAAACAAAGAAAACAGTCAAAGCAGATGTGTGGAAGTGCAGTTGTGAGCTCATACCAGAACTTTAGTGTTGCAGCGGAGAGTGTTGAGAAGCAGAGTCCACAGCTCGGTCCCACACACACCATAGGCTGCAACCGCACACATGTGGCCGGTCCATATGTACTTCATTCTAGGTAGAAAGAAAAGCAGAGAGGCGACATCACGTCATGTTGCAATCTCATCTGCAGCAAAGCTTCTAAATAGAAAACCTACGATTCTACCCTTTTGAGAGAAAAGAAAGTCTCCACTATGGAACTACTCAAGATTTTACAGATTTGTTGGTTAAAATGAGGCTTTTTAATTTTGAAGCTCGGGCTTTAGGATCCCCCCTCAAGCCAGTAAAGCCCATTAAATACAAGCAAACGAGCAAATTGTTTTTAGTTCAGCGAAAGACACTGTGGTTGAACTTAATTTAGTGCTTAAAACACGGCATTTATTTTTAATTCTCCTCCAAAGCATAGCAAGAATTCTAAACAAATGAGAAAAAGATTAAACAGAGAGGAGTGAACACGAGGAAGGCAGAGAATGAAATGAGCTGAAAAACTGTTGACAGGTACAGAGATGGAGCCGTGAGAGAGGGAAGGGAGGAGGAGGAGGGATAAAGAAGTGCAGCCTCCCTGAAATAAATCTCAATACGTTTTTAATGCAAAGGAGCTGTCTGACAGAAACAAATGGCTTTCTGCACTTTTGGCCTTTCGTTCTTAATCAGCATTTTAGAGAAAGTGCTGAAATCAAACGTGTCAGTTCCTGCCCTACCTGACTTGTGCTGTGCGAAAAGCTTTCAGATATTTTTTTTTTTCTTCCCATTCTGGGAATTCAATCAGGACTTTAAATTCCTGACTGTAACAGGAATGTACTGTATGAGCTATATGTATTAAATGCGCTGAATAGCACATTCCATTCCAGCTCCTGTCCGCCACACATGCTCAATTTGCAACATTTCTACACACCCAATAACTCAGATACTGGTGCATTCAAAATCTAATTCAAATTAAGCTACTTATGTGAACCTTTGAAACCCTGCATTTCCATGTTGCTATAAACCTGATAACACAATATTCCCCTTTTCTTTGTGACCAAGTAATTGCTGGTTTCTGAAAGAGAAGTGATAATTCCACATGTAATGTCCATGATTTTCTTGACACTCCTCACAAAAAGTGCTAAGTTAAGGGCAATTATACTTTCATTACAATAATCACTGACAAAAAACGGCAGCCGGAGTTTGCAGCTTGAAATGTGCTCAGTCCAGTGAATTCACTAATGATGCCAGCAGTGAACACCACTTTGTTTAGATTCAGGTCTGGCTGGGGGTGTTGTGCTTGAGATTACGCTGGAAACGGAACAAAACTGCTCGCCACAAGTTGTCAAGTTGTGTGACGCTAAAGAGCTGCTCATAAAGGAATGTGAATCTGCAATAAGTCATACCACTTAGTGTTACATCTACATTTTTCAAAGGCAATGTAACTGTCTTCAACAGTTTGGGGAAAACCAACAACTGAAAGCAGCAAGGTTAGTATTATTTTATGTAACTAAAAGCATAAGAAAGTGGGCAGAGAAAGGAATTTTCTTGAAATTATTTTTCTTTTTGGCTTTTGCCTTCATTTGTCAGAGCAGTGGAGAGAGACAGGAAAGGAGGGGGAAGAATGGGGGAAGACCTGCAGCAAATGGTCGGGAGTCGATCCCACGTCTGCTGAGTCGGGGACTGTAGCCCCTGTTCGTGGGTCGCGGTCTTATCCAGTTGAGCTACCGGGGCGCCCGAAATAAATTTTCTGCATTTGTAAAATTATACACTCATCACAAGCAATGAATACATGTTTGATAGTAGTGCCAAAGAGTGAAGCTGAGATTTTCACAACTTGCATTTAAATTTAAGATAAAAAGTTTCTCTGCACAGCCCCATCATCAATTAATAATCGGTTAATCACTTCAACAAACGAAGTACGGCGACTATTTTTCATCGTGCTTTTAAAGCCATTTTTAAAAACAGACATTTAATAATTGTAGCTTGTCTTCATTAGCCACTCGACTGCAGAAACACTGTCTTGGTAAACTTATAGCCAACTTGTTTTCTATACAAATACACTCATTGGAAACCATTAACTGCTACAAAAGTCATGGTGGCCTGTTGCTAGCTAAACACCCACCATGCGATGGGCCACGGAAACCCTGAAAGCCCCTCACCCATCCACAGTGATCAAAATTCAAACAACAGAAGCAACAATCACAAAACTATGTACAGTCTTGACTCGATAATCCGACGCTAAATGTAAAACCTTCTTTTATGTTGGATAGCAAGGCTGTCGGATTGTCAAGACGGAGGTCGAGATACAAGAAGGGCTTGATACGCGAAGGGTCATTTGTTAATACTTATAGTTGTTATAATAAACTATACTAAATTATTTAATTAATTAACAAGTAGTCACTATTGTCCTGACTTTAATAAACTACAAATGCTATATAAATAGTATGAACTTAAATCGAAAGCAACACTCTAATTTTGTCACTGTTATGTATTGCAAATTATAAACATACTTTTGGAGGCACTATATATATTTACATAAATAATGACAGACTTGAAATATTCCACCTGTTCATGAGGCTTGTATCCTGTCTTGAAAAATCTTGCAATTAACCACAGGGCTGTGTTCAAATACAAATCTAGCACATGCTAATTATGATAAACACACCAAATGAAAAATAATAGAACAGGAGAAAAAAGGTTTATTGGGTTAAAAAAAAAATAACGAAATGAAAAACGTAGGTGTTGCAGAGGTTAATGCCAGTAAGCTGATATTGCTACATAGTTACAGTTCCGGTATTATCAATTAGAGAAAATTTGTCAGGAGCCAGCATGTCGCAGCAGCAGTAAAACCTGCCAAGTCAGCAAGCCAAAACATTCTGGAAATTAAGAACAAGTGGCTAGATATAAAAGTGCACTACAAGAAAGATGTTTCTGTTCAATGATAAAGCCTAAGTGCCAGTTCTGGTGTCAGGCCTCTCATTTCACTGCCAGAGTCTGGCACCTGTAACCAAAGACACACTCAGCGGCAGGTTCTGTTCCACAGTGGGAACCTGCCAATGGATGATGCAGTTAGGTGAAACAGAGAAATAGGCCACGGTGTTTGTGAGAGGAAAAAATGTCTTCCATAAAACACTCCTGTTTTTATGGAAGAACAGAAAATTGAGGTTTTTATCATCTGCTTCTAAAATAAGCAGTTGTACAAATACTCTTGACCTTAACGCTGCTGAATTACTATTGCAGGTCAGCAAATAATCTCGAGAACAGATCTTGCACGCTGATACAAAAAAAAAAATTGCAATCAGCACAAGAAAAACTGTAAAAACTGATTTTAAAAAAAATCCTTTTCACATTAAAGACAAAGGCACAGAATGTCCCAACAGCATGTTTTTATATCTGGAACAGGCTTGAAGATAAAGGCATTTGCTGTGGGTGAAACTTTTTTCACATAACTGACAGTGTTGCATTCACAACTGAGAAATATTGTGATTGTGGGTAAAAAAAAATAAAAAAATAAAAAATCTGATAAATCAGATAACTGCTTTGCTTTTAATGCTTTCTTCCGCACCGACTCCCACATGTCCATACATGTGGGTAAGACTTTCCACAGAGTTTTTTTTATTTTTCATACTTAACTGGGTGGGGAAGATGCAGGATTTGAGCTCCTACTTGTGTGTAGGTCTGCAAAGTAGCTTATAAGAGTCTGGGCTGTCAGTAATGGAGCACACCATTGATGACTGCACACGTGCATAGTTAATTTGCCTCTTAGGTTAGGTACCTGCTGTTTATGTACATTACTCAACTATAACAAACCACATGATCGATTGTTACACTGACTTTATGAAAAGTTGACATCATCATGTTGCAACCCTTTAAAAAAAAAAAAAAAAAGAACAGCTCAGTCCCTAAAGCATTATGTCAACATTGTCATAATGTTTTACAATCTTGTTTTTAAGTCAAAGGACTATTATTTGGCAGATGCAAGCCAACAACCTACTTAAGCAGTTTTTGTAAATAAATATATTTCAATCCGACTTTAGACATTAGAATTAACAGTGATAAATGAGGCATACAGTGCTGCTGCCGCTGCTGCCACCACCGATAGTGGAAATGGAACTGAATCCACGAAACTAGCATCAGCAGCCAAGTACTGCCTGTGTGCTTCGGCCACTTCCACCCCATCGGAGCGCTCCCCCTGGGATGGAAGTGTCCCCCCGATGGCGCCGAATAATCAGATATTCATCATTAATTGATGAATATCCAGAGACCAGCCCTACTAGTTATTATAACAACTATGAACAATAATTAACAACAAATGACCCTTCAAGCATCAAGCCCTCCTTGTATCTCGACCTCCGTCTTGACAATCCGACAGCCTTGCTATCCGACATAAAAGAAGGTTTTACATTTAGTGTCAGATTATCGAGTCACGACTGTAAATGAATTTAAACTAAATCTTATAATTTGTGTATATTCCATTTTCGCACTTGGACAAAAAGTTGGTGGAACCTTGTTCCAGTGCACTCTGGCAGAAGTATAGCTCTGATAAGGGTGCTTTTCAACCAACGAGGGTGACCAGTATTAGTAATATCAGACCAACTACTCACATTAGCTTTTCATTAGTAAATGACCTGCTAACTACAGCTAGTTAGCTTTGAATTTAGTTATCTAAAGCTGTTTGTGCTCGAAACAATCAGCCGGTAGGAGCAATGCTGGACGTGCCCATTGTGAGCTTGTTTTGCCATGTGTTGTACCAACAACTACAGGCATCAATGCAAATGAGTTTGAAATTTTAGGTTATACAAAGTAGTGATAATTACCAGTTCTTCAACTGTATTTACTCTGTTTCTGCTGTGAGTGGTGTCACTATCAGCAAGACTAAGGCACAGTTTGATGGTGCTCGGTATTGAGGGCAGATCAAGCCCATTCAGACACTTGGTGAAACACATGTAAGAGGCACTTGGATTTTAGCATCTGCTCACGAGTATGCGTAATCAAGTCATCAAGAGGAAAAGTAAGTCTGAAGAGCCCCTGTGTGAAAACGTGACTACTTGGGAATGTGTGTGAAACCATGTCTGAGGATGACGCTACAATAGCGATTGCGTGCGATTACCTCATAGTGCTGAAAGCCAGGAGGCCGTAGAAGAGCGTGTGCAACAGATTATAGGCCACGTCTGGACGGAAAGCCACCAGTCGCCCTTCTCCAGCTCCTTTCCTCTCTTCAGTCGAACTTCCTTTTGGTGTGCTGAAAAACAAAAGAGACAGACAAAAGACAACAGCGATACATAAAACATTACAGCCAGACGCCTGAGAAGAGAGGCAGAAGGGGAGGTGGGTGGAATTGATATTATTCAGATTATTCAGATTTCAGTAGCTGTTATTCAGATTTCATTAGCAGTTTGCACACAAGTGGACACGAAATGATACGCGCCCACGACCGTTTCTGTCTGCAGAAGTCAGCGCACGGACAAATAGAGAGAGGCCCGAGGGCAATGATGTCACTCCCACGATTTGGCCTCCTGCACCGAATCAGACGGACACTGGCTTCCATTTGAATACAAATCCAATCTGGCGCTTCCTTCTACGTGAGGTGGGGTAAACTGGATTAAATTAATTCCTGAATTGGCAAATAGCCCTTTGTTCTGTGAGGTTAGTATTCCAGCCCTCCAACAGCAGAGGGTGAGTTGATATGCTAATGTGATTAGTTCAATGCGGCCCCTCACCTTGCACCACAGGCAAATGAAGCTTTGAGAGGCAGCTGATAGAATATTCTGTTTTCCAGAGCATGAAGCAACAATTGGAGCAGAGACACAGGGATAGTGACTAATACTGCGACTGGGCTCCTGCCACCTGATAACCATCCTGATGTCCTCTTCAAAGCTGAAACTCCCCTTTATTCTCTGCAAGGCCTAAAACTCTCCATTCATTCACACTTCACTAACTCAACCAGCTCCCCTAATAAGGATGCAAACTAGCCTGTTTATCAAAACCCAATTTAAAGATTAAGGATTGGTTAATTAATTCTTGAAAGCAATGTTTGAACGGTCTCTGTCTTCTATATTTCTGGTAATGAAATTTTGATAAAAAGTAGCAGTTTGTGTCCGTGTTTGGGATACACGATGATACCGGCATCATCATCATCAGTATCAGTCGATAAAGGCTTTCACGTGAAATATTGGCATCAGCCTAAAGCTAGCAGGTTGATAATGCCTGTCAGGCTGTGAATGTATACTTCTGTTTGAAAATGTTACATAAGAATAAATATGGCATGTTTTACAGGTAAGTAGTTTTTATATTTTGTCCAGTGAATGTGTACTTTTGAGAAGCATTGCATTTTGCTTTTGCACTTACCAGTGGGACATTACAAGAAGAGTAGGCATGTTAAACATTAACATGTTAATTCTACTTGAGAGGAGACCTAATGGTGTCTGCAGTCAAGGGGAAAACATATGTGCATATGACTTAGAAAATATTTGCATATGGGATACTGGTATAAATCCACTCTCATTAGGGTTGGGTATTGTTTAAATTTCAACGATTCTGATTCTGCTCATCAACTTCAGTTTTAAATGATTCTCAATTTAAATTCCTTGAGGGGCAGGAGGGTTCACAACAGCAAAACCAGCCTTTACACTGATCCAAAAGTAATAACAATTTAATTATAATAAACAGTATTACCATGGAACAGTCACAGGACACATGTTTTCTTCATTAGTAATGAGTAGTAGCAATTTTACTTTAATACCATATCACATTTCCCTGATTATACTTTGATATTTTTACCTAAGGTAACACAATTTAATACCTTTTTGAATAAATCAGAATCAAAATCAGAAGAATTTTATCTCCGAGGGGAAATTGCTTCATTGCAGTTGCTGTTATTCAAGTCATTCAATTAAAAAATATATATATATAGGTAAACATAAATAGAAAAATACATCCTAAAAATATAAACTAAGTAGAAAAGAATAGGTATAAAATGTAAAATGTGCATTTACAAAGAAAATAAAATGCAAGAACGTGTGTGTTACTGCACAGAGATATATAGTTAATGCACATTACTGAAGAAGAACTGATCTGTGAACTTCCTACACCACTGCCAATCTGTGTCTAAGTAGGTAGAAAAGTGTTAATACTTCCATCAATTAATGTATTTTCTATGTTTTTCTCTGAGGTGTAGTTAGCACACCCACAGTAAAAGAGGCTGTGACATCGACTGGTGGGTTTGTTGTGTGATGCGAGACTCTCACTGTGTGCGGAAGAAGCACAGCACGTCGCCACAGTCACAGCAAAGTGCGATAACGGTATTAAAGTTACTTTAGTCAGCCGCAATGTGCCTCAATAGGCAGAATAATTACTGAAATGTAATGTGTGTTGTGTTATCTGTCATGGAGGAGAAATAAAACAGTCCATGTTTGTCATGTTACTACAGCATCTCCCTCCATTCTTCACAGCAGAGCTCTGTGAAACTCTGCTTACCACCATTAAATGTTACCGGCTGAAACACAGAGTTAGATAAAGTCATCCTCACTGTAGCAACAATCAGCTCTTTTCTAGTTTCTTGAAATTTTGGACTTTACTTCAGCTTCTTTACTGTAATGACGGCACTGTCTAGTCTTGTCCTTGTAAAGTGTTTTGTAGCAGCATTTGCTTAATTAAGGTGAATGTTACAAGAATAACGCGAGACTCACACTTAATTAGGACAAATGCATTAAGAGATGGTACACTGTTCATTTCTCGCATTAGTGAAATTCGTTTAGGGCTCAGCGAGAAAAATAGTAGAAATTCAACTTTTTTTAATACTACTTTTCGAATCACACTTTTGGAACTGGTTCTAAGTTGGAAGCAGTTCTTGACGCCCAGCCCTACATACTAAGCATCCCGAGTTGTTCGTTCTCATTTATTCAAAAAGACATTTTGACCACAAGCACAAATTCCAACAGTTATGTGGTGTTAAAAGCAGCAAAGACAGACAGAATATCTCTCTTCTCCTCACCTTCAGATGCAATAAATATAATTAATCAATGCAAATACATAAGAAGTGTACTGAAACCCAACAAACACCACCTTTACTGTACGTGGACAAATGAGTGGTTCATATAAGGTTGAAAAAAGATCCCACACAGAATCAACTTCTACTCGATTACACTTCACCTGAGATGTTTTGACCTCTGTGCCTCCCCTGTGCAGAAATTCAACACTTCCAGCACAGATCATCCCTCAATATTTTCATTCCATGCTACCTCTGTAGTCTGTGATATTATATCTTGGCAGTATTTTGCTATGTGTAAATTTCCTCATTGCCTCCTTTGTATGTTCCCTACAGTCTGTCTGTGTTTAAACCCTATCCGGATTCTATTTTTTTCCCCTGAACCCAACTGCAAGGAAAGATTAATATTACAACAATGACTGCTCATAAAAAAGTATTTTTAATCTTGCTTGAGTAAACGAGGAGCAGCAACAGACAACTGCTCGTTACTACATATTATGAATGTTGTTGAAAAGTTTTTGACAGATTTATAAAAATATTTATGTATTCTCATTTTTATGACAGGTGGTCTTATAAATTATATGTGTGTGCATAGGATTCTTTCAGTTCTTTCTTTCATCTATAAACTTCAAGCTAAACTTGTCATTGGCCTAAGAGCAAATTCAAGAATTATACTTTTAATAATATAGATATATGAATAGGACTTTTAGCATATGTGCTATCTCTAGTACCATATACTCTAACCCCTCTGGTCACAGCAACTGCTTCAGTCGTCACCTACCTGAGGTTCTGCAGTGCTGCCACTGCCAGCATGGCGCTGAGCAGCAGTAGAGTGATAATGTAGGGGTATAGCAGCAGGGTACCAGCCAAGCGCTCCAGTGTGTCCAGGGGCAGCAAGCCAAAGGCCTCCTCACACAGATACAAACTGGCGTCAAAATCCCTGCAGGAGGAGAGGTGAAATGAGCAAGGACAAAGGAGGTGGACAAGGGGAGAATTAGAACAAAAGAAAGGATAAGATGAGCCATAAAGGACGACACAAGGACAGGAGACTGAATTTACTCGACAGCACTTGAAACTGTCAGTGTTATACACTGTAAGCAGTTTGTGTAGTTCTGGTAGATTCAGAACATTTTCTTTTGTAAATGTACGACAATATAAAAATCCTTTGTAACAGTAACAACCTTCTGCTGAAAAATGCAGAATGCTACTGGTGAATCAGGCGGTATCTTGCTTTTGTAGCTGGTTGAGGTGGAGCTAGTCACAAGAGAACTCTGAGATGAGTGGGATGAATTCCTGCTCCACTAATTTGCATTATTATTTTGATCTTGGATTTTTCTTTTTGTTTAGAACAAAGGGGTCAATCCAAGAAGGTTAACTGACTGGTTTGTTCTTAACAATGCATTTTGTATCTTATATGTTCTCAAGTGAATTTAAAATCTGGCAGGAAACCAGTGAAAATAAATATTAGTTAAGTGACAAGTACAACATTTGCCTCTGAGACGTAGTGAAGTACAATGCTGCATGAAATAGAAAATTCAAGTGAAGTGTAAGTAGCTCTGCTCAAACAAATGCTCAAAGTAAAAGAACCTGTCAACTTTTATCAAGTAATCCAAATGTGGAATATAAGAGCACACACACACACACGCGCACACATGCAAAAAAAATCACAAAATCAAGCTTTTAGCTTCCAATCACCCATATTCAAATCAAGATAATGCAGTTCAGGAAGAACGTGTAGCGTTTCAGCATGTTGCTGTGATTGAGTGGGGACAAGAGGCTACTCTGTGCAAATTGTACTTTTTTTGCATAAACTGCAACATCTACTAATGATATGCTTATGAGGTAACATTTGTAAATTGTAGCTTTAGAAAACAACCTGAGCTACACTCTCTGCCTCTAAACTGCATGAGTCTCGGATGCACATTGGTCACACTATCCACCCACCACCACGAGTAAATTCATTGCCTGTGGGAAACACTGAGATATGATTAAATGGCCAACATTATGCATTGCATTTAATGAAAAGAGTGGCTGGGAACATAGCTTCCGCTATCGTAGCATCAACATTATGAATTGAAACGTTAAAAAAAAAAAAAACACTCATCCTGTGCTGTGAAATGTGCCTGGCTGAGAGCAGCATCTATTCCTGCAGCATTTGAGTGTTAGGCAGCAACAAACAGAAGCAGTGAGGAGTCAGACATGATAGTTAAAGAAGAGCTGCCTGATCATGTTAATGAAAAAGAACCTTCATGAAAAAGAACAAAACATTTATCTTTACCTTTATCCCAGTTTGTGTTCCGTAACATGTAAATTAAAAGGTGCCGCTTAAATTAATTATTCAGCATCATATGGTTTTGGGTGCACATAAAAAATGTGCTCGTACACCTAAATGAAAAAGTTAGGTGCACCAGTGCAACCAATGTAAAAAGTCAGTCTGGAGCTCAGACAAGTCTGTTTATGCTACAAACAATCTGGAAAAATACTGGTGCTTTAAGAAAGACATCCCTGACAGAACAGCAACAATAAAAAAAGAATAAAAACCTTTATGAAATGAAGAGAGGGCTACAAAACGGTATTGAGAAAAAATTCACATTTTTACTTGAATGCTTCTATCACAATAAAACAAATGACAAATATAGAAAAACAGAGGTGTTTCCATGTCTTCCAAGCATTTTTCAATCAGGCTGACTGAAGAAAGAAACACAACTGTGGATTCTTATATAGCAAATATTTTCAAAATGAATTCAATTTATTAACACAATATGGCATATCTGGTAGTTCTTTTTTTTTTTTCGAAAGTGTCTTTCACATTACATTGGCAACATTAAAAAGTCATGCTGATAAGTAACTGAACTGAGAATTGAGACGTCAGAAACGCAGTGCAAGAAACAAGTTAGAGAGAAGAATAAGCCTAAGCCAGTGAGAGGAACAGGAACAGAGGGAGAGGTAGAGATAGAGCGAAGAGAAGGCATTACATTTTCCACAGCCTCTTGAATAATTGAAGGGCCAGTTGTCTGGCATTGGGTTGTGAGCTGTGTTATCTGCCACCCCGGAGCAGCTATCTAGTGGCTGAGCTGTTCAACACACACAAACACACACACACACACACACACATAAAGTATCTGATCGATGGGAGGTGTGCTGGCGTTACCCCACCATCTATTATTCACATTCACTAACACTCCAGGTGCTGCAACACTGGTGCTTAGTGAATAATACAGTCACTCTGGATTAAGTCAGGAGTTATGTACAGATGCACACTGTGCACACTTTGTGTATGCACTGCTGTGTGGGGGGAGCACGTCCTTGTGTGAAAACGTGGTGTTACAAGAGCAGCGTGGGACTGTGTTCAATACCATGTGAAGTGTCTGAATATGTAAGTCTGTATTTCAGTGTGTGTGTGTGTGTGTGTGTGTGTGTGTGTGTGTGTGTGTGTGTGTGTGTGTGTGTGTGTGTGTGAGCTCATCATTGAAGAGTGTGTTCATACCTTGTCGGCCCCAAGGCAAACTTCGACTTGATGAATTTAAAGATGTGTTCGTCTGATCTGAGCTGCAGTGCTTTCTGTACACACACACACACACACACACACACACACACACACAAATACAGATAAGGTCATCACGTCAGGGCTAAAGATCAGCTTTTGAGATGCATAAGCAACTAAATAAACCAAGCTGAGATCAGATAGTGAGGTCACACCACTGAGTCTAGATGCATGAGCAGAGGGCGAAAAGGAAAGAAGCTGCAACAGAGGGAGACTGTGGTGAAATAGGGGAAAGATGAAAAAGAATAAAAAGGGAGAAAAGCATAGGAGAAAGAAAGAAAAAGAATTTGGAAACAGAGGATGGAAACAGTGGAGGAAAAGGATGGATGGAAGGAAGGCAAGAAGAAGAGAAGCACCTTGGCCAGGTAGTTGATGGTGAAGGTGAGGAGGAGAACCGTGGCGCTGTGGAGAAGCACTTTGCCCAGACGAACCAGCAGGTTTCCTGTCTTCAAACCAGACTGCGCACAGCAACAAGATACTGGTCAATACATCTGTTATAGTCTCAGTGCATTTTTACATGTGAAAAAAAGACACATTCATATTCACATACATATTAAGTGTTATGGGCAACCATCCTCTATCACCATTAAATGCATGGATCATGTTTCTACCTCTAGTACATTCTGTATCACATACATTAGGCAGAATAAGCCATTTAAATCGAATCACCTACAACCTTTTCTAAATATATTTTGATCATTTCTAACATTTTACAATTACTTACAGGTTACAGTATTTCCCTTCTAAACTCATTAGTATTTCTCAGTGTAGACTGTATCTTTATCATGTTTAAAATGTATTACTATGCACACAGCCCACTATAACGTCTCAAAGAGTAAGATCTACCAAATACTCGGGCCAGAGTTTTACTTTCCACATTTGTGAGCATGTGTGGGTCTGTGTGATGTCAATTTTGCATCTCTCCAAACTTAAAGCTTTTATTTCACACTTACAAGTTTGTAACAACCACAAAACACATTAGAAATAGATTTTTTTTTACCTTATGTAACCTTTAACTAACTCTTGGGATGTCTTGTTGGATGTATTTCATTCATTGCAGTGTCACTGAAGTGTCACTACAAAAACTAAAGGCCAAGTCATGCTTTCTGTGTGTGCATGTGTGTGCAGCTCAGACAGACCATCTGCATTGTAAGTGCACCAACTGAACATGTGCCAAAGAAAACAAATGGTGCTTAAAACAAATGCTTGTTATAAGGAGAGACTGTACCAGGGGATTCTCTGTCATCCACATCTTTTTGATTCATCATTAAAAGAGTTGTAATTGAAGTAGTCATTGCCGGACTCTGGAGGAGCTTTCATTTATAACCCACATGCTTTCCATCGTTGGTGCCCAAACACAGTGGGAAGTTCTAAATTCTCCAGAAATCCTGTGTTAAGTCCACCCACTGTGCTCGTCACACCTCAGGAATAATCACATTGACACGGTGCCACAGCCTAATTTGTAAGCAGCTGCTATATCCTGTAAAAAGTGCAGAGTTAGAGCCTTTCAGAAGCATCCTCGGGAGCTTCTGTGTGTATTTCTGTGCTCGATATGAGGGTTAATGCAGCCGTCTGTGTAGCAGACCAACAGGTACATATTGTACTATGAATAACCATATACAGTCCACTATTCACATTCAAAGTCCACATCAGGCATGCTGAAACCATGAATAAGCCAGAATTTCTCATCATCAGTATGCTGCTGCTGCTGCTGCCATCAAAACCCTCCAACATCGAAGGTATGCAATTGAGGGTTAAGGCTATCTAGGTATGAAATGCCAACACTGTCTGCCAGGGTTAAAACAAGATTCATTATTTTGAAGTCAATCTCCAAGTTAAGCCCAACTTTTCTTCATGGAAAAGGACACACCAGCTTTCAGTCACAGCACACAGTTTGGTCACAAACCATCGAAAACCCGATAATAAGACAAGTAGCTGACCATATAAAATATTATGTGAAATATATGTGACTTGTGGGCAGATTCCTTAAACTGAGATAAAGCAACGGGCCTATTAGTTTTGATCAACAACCAAAACACACTGTCTTCTCGCAGTACTGGAGTGATGTCACCGAGTGATGCTTCTCAAAAAATATATATATATATTGTATAGGCACCAGCTGGCAAACACAACCAGACATGTTTTGCTTTTTGTAAAATTAACAATAATTTAAAAATATATATATATTCATTGCTGTTTTTTGTGATTTATGGAATTTTAAATTCATTATAATGCACAAAAGACATTTTTAAATTTCTCTATTACTAGCCAGGGTTGCAATGTTTCCATAGAGATGAAGGACTTGGAAAAATAAGCCCACAGTGAGTAAAAATGTTTTAGGAGATAAAGACATCCAGAAACTGCTTGCTTGAGGTTCAGAGGGTTAATTTTATTGTGTGTATTCATCACACACACACACACACAAATACACACTGTACATTTACCTGGCAGTGTCTGATGAAGAGCGCAGCTACAATGAAGCTCAGGACCAGCGATCCCAGGATCATTGAGTTACAGAACTGCAGGAGCCACACACTCAGAAGGCCGCTCACTTGAACAAGGTACAGAGTGGTCACCTGGAGAAACACACACACACACACAGCTGTTACACAGAGCCTGACATGTTGCTCTCAATTTATTGTTTGACGTCAGCCAAATAATGTGTTCGAATATTTGCCAAAAACTGAAAGATGACTAGTTCAACATCTGGGCCAAAAAAGCAAATCAGAACACAACTATCTGTATGGCAATATAGCACAAGAGGTAAGTGACAAAATGCTGCTTTCTTTCTAATTTGAGTGAACTGACTGTCAATATATGGTTGCCATGACATTCAAAAGCTTAGCCCATTAGATTCTCACAGATGAGTCAAGGCTGCCATTTCTTCATCAATATACGTTTTTTTTTCTGTTAATATGCTTCTGTTTGCTTTACTTCATGCCTGAAGTTGCATACCCTGACCCCAGCCTGACCCTAACCTTAGTGTTGCATAACCAGAGTGATCTCCACAGCACCATGAAGAAAGGTCTGGCCCACCAGATTTTGCTATAGTGGGATGGGGGTTTGTATTTCTTTTTACCGACTGTTTTGAGCAGTGCTCAGCCCAGGATGTCCCTGCAAAAACATGCTGGAGAGAACTTGTTTTGGTTGAAATCTTGCAAACAGGGAAGCAAGCACTATCATAAAAATCCTCAAAGAACCACCTGGGTCCACCTTAATCCACATTCTAAATCTTCACCAAAACTTGCCATATTCAGCATGTAGGTTGCTGCTAGAAGCTAATTATCGTTGTTTCCCACAGTGAAGGGGATTGTGGAAACAGTAACGTGCAGAGAGTGGGAAAGTAGAGGATGCTGTATGAAATACATGACAGAAATGGCAGACTTATACCCTCAGTCTGCGTCCGGTGGGTCGGACCACCTTAACTCCAACCAGTTATCTGTGCCTCTTACCCAGATTTGGGATACAGTATCTATTACAGATGCATACTTTACATACATAATTGGTAAGGTCTACACCTTAACATGTTAAGCACTGTGTGATGACATATGTTGTAAACTGTGCTATACAAATAAAAATAACTAGACTTGACATACAGAAAGCTGAGTATGGTGCTGCCACTCCACCTTGCATGATTTTTATTTCAATGTCCACTTGCAGTTCTGCAACAAAAACATTGCTTGTACCCAAACAAGATTTTTTTTTTCCCATAGACCACCAGCAGATAGCAAGATTTCTAAAGCTGTTGAGAAGATACATAGAGGTGAAACGCAGCCAGCTCTCACTCTTTGTATTATTCATTTCAATCCATGAATGTTTAATATTTGTCAAATTTTATCACTACCTAGAAAACACTGTGGACTGAGCAGAACAGCACAGGTGAGGTCAAATGGAAATGATCTGAGAAGCTAGACGTTTTATGTACTTTACAAGCAATTGCAAGTGAACAGATGCTATCTTGGGGTCCAGTAACCAGCCATTGTAATACATACATGAAGCTGGCCCAATATGTATCTGGTCCTTCTTGCAGCCATACCTGTGTAGTTGTTAAGAAGTCAGCACAGTCCAGGGTATAAATGATGAAAGCCTGAACAAGTAGAATGAACTGGTTGAACTGCCAGGTCAGACAGAAACAGAACGTTGTCACGTACATCAACCACACCATCACCTTCTATGGAGGGAGGAGACACAAATATGCACAGGTTAGATACTTGGACTGGATACTAACGGCATAAAATTCCATTTTTTCTATGCTGCTAGTATTTTTAGAGATGGTGAATTATTGAGCGGATCGACTGGCTGTACAAAGTCAAGGCCAAGCTGTATGGTGAGAATGGTCAATAGCTTTGATCTTACCTGCTGCAAGGCAGTGAGCTGAGGCCTGAGGTAACAGGTGATAGTGGTGACCTGCAGCGCTAAGAAGGGCAACGACCAGTTCTCTCTAAGGGATATGGTGAACTCTACACGAGTGGTATCTACCCTGAGAGGAAAGAGAGAATGAGAGTTATGCATAGAGTAAAAAAAAAAATCTGGTTTTAAAAACTATGCAATACCAAAATGTCCACCTCACAACTAATATGGCGAAACTACAGACATTTGTATCTGTTTACAACTTCCTGCAGCTTGTGTATTGATGGGACAAAACAACCAAAGGAATAAGAAGATAAGATAAGGAGTGAACAGCTGTTTCACTGATAGCTAGAAAAGTTAGAATGTAATTTACTACAAAGGTTTATTGCAATATTTAAAGGTCAGTGAGTTTCAAGTGAAATATGCTTCAAACTCTGCAGTTTTTTGTTTTTTTTAGCTCATGACAGCTCTTTTTGGAAGTTTTCTGCAGTTGGAAACCTCTGTGGTTTTCTATTTTACTGTTTAAGATAACGCCAGATAACCCTTTATTAACCCCTGCACTGTTTCAACAGCAAAGACAGCAAAAGCATCCAGTAACAATAACAAAGCAAAATACAATAAATAAGTAAAAAAAAAAAAAAAAAAAAAAAAGCAAGATGTAATAAATAAGTAAACAAGTAAACAGTGAAACAGTACAGAGTACAGTTTACAGAGGTTAGTGAATAAATCTCGCTCCTGTATGGATCTGGAAGGACAGTAGAGAAAATGCCAGCAGGGTCTTTGAAGGTTTTTCAACTTTTAGCCCAAACATCCAAAGACATGTCAAGCAGCGCAAAACTCAGAGTAAAATACAAGAAGACAATACAACTAGAAAAGTTTCCTTGTCTACTAGACGCCCGGTACAACCACAATCTGTTAGACGCAATACATCAATAAATCACTAGCTTTGTTCAAAGTTTAAAAAAAAAAACAACAACATTTATTTAACCCATGAATAAACTGAAAGGGAAAAGAAGGAAGTCAAGTTTTGTTCTGTGATGCTTTTTTGCAAAATTCAAATTTGGCAGTCTTTTTCAGTCCCTATCCATCACACTTCAGGAGTGACAGGCTACCACACATATGCATACTACATCACCTGCTTAACACATTTAGTACATGTGACTTAAGGCTTCATTGTCTTTAATGGCCAGCAGGTCTGATTGTATAGAAGTATATGAGAAAATGATCGTACTTCTCCTTTGATCTGCTCCTCCTGTAAACATTCTCCTAATGAGTTTATGGTCTCAGCTGACAGTTTTAGGTCTCCTTTAATACAGCATGGTGTCTATTTTGTAAATTATGGTTCCATTTAGATTAAAACAGGCGATAAGGCAGAGTAGGCTTTAGGATGATGGCTACCCTGTGTCCAATAGGTCACCAATGTATGAGTGTGTACTGGTTGTTAGTCACAACCAGTTTTTAAAGACCAAGATAGTGACAGCAAAATGCCAAACGCAAGGCTTTACAACACAAACCAAAGGGTGACACTACAGTGGTTTCGACCATCAATATCCAGTCTATGGAATCTCATACTACACCAATGGCCAAAATAAAAGCTTGACGTATATTTTTTTGAACATTTCTTTTGTATTATAGTGCGCACACCATCTGACTGTCATGGGAGTCATCAATCTGACTGACTTGATTCATAAGGAAACAAAAAAATGTCCCATGTAACTTAAGTTAGTTCCATTTACTTCAACCATATTAAAACTACATGAAACTGAATCAAGAAGGATCCAGTAAAACCTCTGAACAGCTTCATCATTTACTGGAATTGTGCTGCTCACAGTTCAAACAGCATCTGAGATGCTACAGTAAAAAACTGGGTATCACATCATAGCCAAGTTTTGGTTTTCACTGAATTCACATTCTGCTCACATGATATTGATTTTGACGGTAAAATCCTTTGCTGTTTTTTTTCTCCTGTAAGGACTTGGCCTGATTGAAGGTTTTAACAGAGTTATTTTCTTTTCCCACTGAACCATGAAAAACATGTTCACAAAAAGTTGAACTTAAACCACAAAAACATAAATAATTGGCAACATTTTGTTATAAAGTAGTTCATTACACTCATTATTTCACTTGCTATGATATCATTAACTGTTACTGAAATTTTACAGCTGTTTAAAGGAGGATTTCAAGCTCTATCGGTTAATCTGAGATTTTTAAAAAAAAAAAAAAAAAAAAGGAATACAGAGATATATAAAAGTAGCAAAATAGGTAGATAATGGCAGAACTTTAAAACAATGTGATACAAACAGAGATTAAGCACAAGGCAAAAAATAGAGTTATCCTTTGGTGGGGTTTGGGAAGAGCTGTTGTTCTTTCCATGACTATGATTTATTGGTCACTGAATTCTACATATGCATGCAACTAAAGGACTGATATCAGTATAATTTTAAAACACATTCTTCCATTTAAGTAAATACTGTGATCCATGTAATAATCAGTGCATAAAAGAATGAGAAAAGGAGGCAAATACAGCGATTTCAGAGTTAAAACATGAGAAATAAACAAGCACCAACATGATGTCAGATATGTTGGAGAGCCCTCACTCACTCAGATCACTATTTTTTGAAAACTTCACATAATAAGTGTGATTTAAAGGTAAAATCTAAAGTTATTAGATCCTAAGCAGGAAAGTGGATGAAAAATCTTTTAAAACCATTTTACAAACAGTTTGTTTGGGTTTATTAACAACAGGACAGAATTACTGGAAGTGGCACTGAGCCAAAATCACATTTGCACTAGCACAAACTTTTTTTTTTTTTAACTTTCATAATTTACTGTTTTGGTTTGTCCTGTAACACAATAAGCAACAGTGGATTTAATAGTATGAAGATTTAATAATGTTAGACACAGATAGCTTCCGAAGGCTTCATAGTTTCACTGAGGATTTTGTCAAGCTTTTGTAACTTTTTGCTTGAATGGCATCCAGAATAAAGAAATCAATCCCCATTTTATGCTGACATATAAATCTGCAATGAAATTTCAAGGTTTTAACACAGCTACAAACAATGGCTAAGGTCGGTCTGTGTATAGTAAAGGCAATGAGTCTGCGTTTTGTTATCTGACAGAAATGTATGCATTCTCCTGTTATTTCTCAACATTTTATGAACAAAAGTGTCTACTGTGTTTGATTAAATGAAACCCCTGTTCGCATAACTGGGAGAAAAAATAAAACATAATACTTTCAGTCCTTATCTTGGCACTAGTGAGTTTCCTTTGGCGATGGCTGAAAACCTCTTTTGGGGGGGTGCCTAAAACCTCTTTGGGAAGTGCCAAAAATTTGTCTAGGCAGGAAAAATCCTGCATGTACAAAGCCAGGTGCATGTAGAAAAGGAGCACTCTGTTCGCCATTCACTGTCTCCTCCGCATACAGTACAGGAGTACTCAGTCATCACTTACCTATTAAGGATGTACCAGATCCCGGTGAGCGTACCAGCCAGCCAAGAACCAGACAGGAGCCATGCAGTGAGGTACAAAGCAATCACGTACACAGCTTGGAGCGAGAAAACTGTGTAAATGTAAAAATACACTGGCTCCAGATATGACTGAACCACACAAACAAACACACACACACACACACACACACACACACACACACACACACACAAGTAAAGCTCTTAGTTCATTAGGCACTGCAGATGAACACAGTTGACTATAGTGACAGAAAAGCGACTCGGGCGCTCAAGAACACTGTGGCATTTTTGGAGTTTGGTCTGATATTTCACTTCCTGACATTCTTGTCACACAGTGAGCGGGCTGACAAAGCTTAGTGGCTGTTTCGAAGTTAATTGATATGCCAATACAGAAACCTTTTCCTCCGGTGTGACAAGTGTAAGTGCCAAAGACAAAGGACAAAAAAAAAAAATGAAATACTAAAATGCCACAGCAACTCAAACACCCAGCAGTCTCCTAATACGACTATTATTTAAAACTGCAACAGTAACATGGGTGGTTAATAACAATGACAAAAGAAGAATATATATTTTTTCAAAATGCTGGATTGTGATATTACTTTTTTTCCACACACAGAAGATTTAATTTATGTTTCGTTACCTGTATGGGCAACAGTCTGTAGAGAACACTGAGGAAGACCTCTTGGTAGATATTCATTCGCTGTAAGAGATTAATGGTCCTCTTGGATTCTGTCAAGTTGTCATGGATCAATTCTGAGAGCCCTAGAAACACACACATACACACTTTAAAAATGCCACCATTTCTTTCCTGTTTTTTTTCCCCCAAAGTGATGCAGACTGATATCAGTTACTATTGGCTTTGTGACAACTGGGGAGGAAGGTGTAGGAATGTTTCTCAGAGCTCAGCTGGCTCATTTACAGAGTGTGGTGCTGTTAAAGAAAAAATAGCAGTGTTTGGAATTTGGGTTAGCTACTAAAACCACAGGTTGTTCTGCCTGAATTTAAATTCTTTAATTGCTGAAAGCACAGTAAATGTCTGAGCCCATCAGTGCATTCAACCTTAGAATCCCTCAAACTTCACTTCATTTCCTAAATTTAAAATATATGTGGTCATACGCATACGAGCTCATACACACACCGATGGCACTGTTCCAAAGCAGGCACTAAGTCCAGTATCATAACTATGTATTTGGTTTGATTTTAACAAAGTGTGACACCAAACTAGGAGCAAGGGCTGAGTTTCTGCTGCAGGCTGGGACGTGTCAGACTGATCACGACTGTGTTCCTGATCCATGTACGAACATAAAAACCAGCACTGTTTTCCATAAGGAAAGTGCGCATTACAACCCACACACATGGCCCACTCTACTTCGTTCATTCGGATTCAGAATTTTCATTTGAACTGTCATTTTTGCTTTAACCCTTTTCTTTCCTCATTCCCTGTGTCCTCACCTCATCATTTAAATCCTTTTATCTATTTCAGCCCCTGTATTCTTTCCTTCTGCCCTTATACCTTTTCTCTCCTCTGTGCTGCTATTTCCATTCTTTTTCTACAATAAAGCCTCCTACCATCATCTTTTGTTCCATCATTGCTCCCACCCCGCCCTCACTTTTTTTCCTTTCCCATATCAGTCATTTATTTTCTCATTTCTTCCATTCCATGCCGTAAAGTCATTCGTCCTTCCATCACAATATGTTTCTCCTTTCTCTTTTGTCTTTAACACTTCTAACTGCTGTAGCTTCAACATATCAAGCTGTTCTGCTGTGACAGGAAAGGAAGTGAACAGAGAGGGAGACAGACAGGTAGGTCAGTCAGTTCCTCTGATTAGACTAAAGCGCAATTGCCTTAGTGGAAAATTAGGCCCACTTCCAACTAGGAATTTTACATGATAATGGGAACAAAATAATTAGACTAATTCTCTCAGACCAGACTGTGCGTCATGAGAAGCTGCAGTGATTTGTTTGGTCTGGCTGGAAAATGGAGTAAAAAACAGTTTCTATTTTCAAGAGTGGGTAGAGAAAGCCACCTGGTGGCTTTACCCATGCAAAAAAGGCCAATTAATAAAGAAATCATTAGCTTCATTAGTTGGTTTTATTGATTCCACCTAAAACTTTTCAAAACAGTAATCCAGCAAATCAGATTCAAATACAGTGCCTATTTAAAATACTCTCCCCCCCTTGGTTTTCTCATTTTATTGCTGTTCAACATTGAGCTGAATTTGGCTTTTTTTTGAAAAAAAACTAAAAAAAAAAAAACGCCCGAGCCCAAAAAGAAAAAAAAATTCCAAAAAAAAACGGCAAATAAATAAAAAAAAAAAAACAACAACAAAAAAAAGTCACCGTAACTGTTCACTCCCTTTAAACCAACTCACGTAATTCAAGACGGGGGCAGCCAATTGGTGCAAAAAGTCACGAGAGAAGAATGTCTGAGTGCAGCAAATATGTCTCAAATCACTGGAGTATAAAGACAACTTTATCTGAAAGGTTTATTCACGAGTGAATTAGTACCCAGTCTATAACTAGACCACGAAGACAAAAGAACATTCCAAGCAACACTGTGAAAAGGTTATTGAAAAGCGTAGGTCAAGGGATGGATACAAGAAACTGAATATCCCTCAGAGTACAGTAAATTCCATCATTAAGACATGAAAGGAAAACACAAATAGGTTAATCTCAAGAACTGTGCGACTACGCAAGAAAGAAACTACTAAGTGAGGCCACGAAGACACCTATGACTCCTCTGAAGGAGTTACAAGCTTTAGTAGCTGACATGAGAGAGACGAGGAAAAAGATTAGAATGTCACTTCATTCCAACATTAACCTCTCTGGCTATTTTGTATAGGGTGATATGCAGCATATATCACGACAAACACAGTGCATACCTTCCTGTATGGATGGGGCCTGCAACATTTGTTTGTAGTAGGAGTAGTACAGTCCACACTCAGTCCGAAAGGAGATCTCCCGCTCCACTTCCTGAAAGCCAAAAGGGAAATTTGGGCTGTATGAATCCGAACACTTCTGTTTTGTATAATATGGAAAACAGATATCCTGGCAAGACATGACAGAAACACGGAGGATAGAAGCAAAGCAGCTTAAACACTCATAATCCTCAACAGTAACAATCAGACAGGTAACACAGTGTGTGTGTGTGTGTGTGTGTGTGTGTGTGTGTGTGCTTGGAGAATGTCTTCCCCCGAGACTTCCTGCTTGTCATGCATGATTACTGTTCCATTGGGGTGTACAAGGGAGAGCAAACAGTGAGCAACCAGCTGCAAAATATTAGGTTAATCATTAATCGATCATATTTGGTTTGTAAACACATTTTCCAGCTGTGCTTGTAGGAAAAGAAATTCTTTCACTATAGCAACTGATTTCTTTACCAAATCGGTTACGTGAACGTCTGTCAAATTGTTTCTCCAGTATTATTGTCCTTCCACCGATGAATGTTGTCCAAAGGATCTCAAACTCTAGTGTTTGTGGAAATCCAAAACATACTTCTGAGTATTATTACAGTGCAGTTTATCTGATAGTTTTCCAGTAATAACTTAGCTAAAAGCTAAGCCTTCATGAAAAGACCATAAAAAACATGTATTGGACACAACATTTCTTGGGCTACTAAAACAGCTGATACTAGAAGTCCACAACATGAATAGTTGAAAGTAAACAGCCATTCTGATTTTGTTTTTTTTTTTTACATTAGAACACAGATCCACCATAAGGCTACATTCAAGTACACTTGTAAATGTATATAAAATGATCCCTAGTAGGAGAAACTGATTACTTAATTTAATTAGCTTTACTATTTAATCCTACTCCTGCAGATCATTATGTCTGGTTTGTAGTTAACAGTGGCCACACCCGACAGCAGTTTGGTTCAATCATCATCAAGGAGGATCAAGCAGAAGGATACCAGGAAACTAAAAGTTAGTAACAACACAGACTAGGTATTCCTACCCATGTCCAAGACTGATGCAGACGTCCCCACCAGCTAGTTCAGTTCACCTGGTTACAACCATTCACTTACTGACAGACGACCTGTCCAGGGTGGCCCCTGCCTTCGCCCTAAGTCGGCTGGGATAGGCTCCAGCCCCCCTGCGACCCTCGTGAGGATTAAGCGGTGTATAGATAATGGATGGATGGATGGACTTACTGAGAGAAAACGAGCAGACTCCTGAGGAGTGCCATACAAAACCACTGGGTCACAGCACTGACAGAGACGTAAGTTAGACCATTTAAACACATATTTGTTATGTATTTGGAATATGGTGCTGAGAAGCAAAAACCTCTCAACAACACACACGAATGTAGGAATAAATGGTGAACCTCTCGATTAACAAAAGAGACTGACACTATGAGTACAGTGACAGTCCTGCATGTGAGGGCAGTGTTGAGGTTCAACCTTAGGACTCTCCAAAGTCATGGCCCACCTGCTAAATTTGACCTCTTCTGAGGACACAGTGTGCAGGTACAGACTGTGTTGACTGGCATCTCCTTGAGGCCCGGTCCACACATACATGAGTATCTTTTGAAAGTAAGTTTTTCCTCTATTTGAAAAAAAACGTTGTCCATGTGAAAACACAAAAAACAAGTGGAGTGCTGTCAAGAGCATGCCTCCAGTTTTCCTGCAAAATCATAACGTATTCCTCTTGTCTCCTGATGCCGTTTACTTTGACAAGGTTTCCTGGCTCGTAGGCTGAAAAACATCCCCAAAGCACTACGATCCCACCACCAATGCTTCACTGTGGGAATGAGGTTCTTGGGAGAATGCTTCTCTTTTCTTTCAGCAAAAAAATCTACATCCCTGTATCTGAAAAAACTCCATTCTTCTCTCATCCAACTGCAGAACTGATGAAAAAAAGCCTTCCTTTTTTGTCCAGGTGAGCTTTTGCAAATGACAGCGAGCTTTGTGTGCCAAATGGTGTCCTCCTTGGTCAGTGACACCAGAATTGAGATGCCTTGCGATGTTGGTACCAGACCTGCTCATTCATCAGGAGGATCTTGGAGCTGATCCTTGCATTCTTGTAGTATATGGGACTGTGGTGCGGGACTCCTTGTACACCTTGATTATGCTTTGCTCAAAATAAAAATGTATATACGTAGTATTGTACATGAGTGTTCAAAAAATCCACGACTTGAATCTCAGTAGTTAAAGGTGCACTAACTTTTGTAGCACTAAGGTGCTGCTCTGGTGCCTGCATTTTTAATATAGTCAATATAAACTGTCTGTTTCATTTTACACATGAACAAATACTGTTCAACTTAGAAGTGACGCAATTATTATAAGGTGATACAATTTTGAATAATTTCATCACGCTCACTTCTGTTGTGTACTGTATATACTGTACATATGAAATAAACTGCTCTGATTGTGACCTGAACTCACAGTGAAGAAGAGACAGGAACTCCTGCTGTGATCTGAGAGTGGACTGCTCAGGGGTGTGTACCACGTTACTGACTGAAGCCTCATATCCCAGGCTGTTATTTCTTGTAGAGTTTGTTTTAAGGTCCTTGATTTATTAAAGGTTCAAACTGAAAGTGTATCAATAATTCAAGTAACAACTCCTACCTTGAGCTGAGAGAACCACAGCAGATTCTCATGTATGGCGTTGACACACCAGGCCTGAGTCAGAGCCAGCAGCCCAGCCAGTAACAGCCCTGCTGCCATGGAAACGCACTGTTGCCAAGGCCACCGGGGTAGAATGTCTGAACCGGAACAAGAACCGGATCGTCCAAGCAGAGAAACCCCCCTCTCTACCCTCCTCCTGTGTGGCATTGCTGTCCCCAGCATCACGGTACTGTTGCATCTCCCTTCAGCTGGTGCATCTCGTGAAAGCACCAAAGTACGCTCGAGCTGGCTCAGCTTAATTCTCTTACGGAGTTCCATTGCCTGGGAAAACGGAGATTATCAATAAATTCTTGGATTCTTTGATGAGCTGGATCCAGGTAGATAAACGTCATGCTCCTGGGTTACGCTAGAACTGATCCAAATCCATTACGGAAATAAATGTAAATGTGGTGTGTTTTTCTTTTCTTGAAGTCAGTCCAAATAAATTAGCTTTTTAAATGCTTCAAGTTCCTTGCCAGAGGATATGCAAAAGCTTTCTCCGAGGGAAAGAGCAGCTACTTTTTCTCCCAATCCTTCTTTTGAGTTTGCCCGGGGCAAAACAAGCCTTGGCTTTTCACCAAGAACTCTGATGAGATGACTAATCCTCAGTTTAAATTAAGGTCAAAGAGAATAGGCCTAGTTAACAAGTTCACACATTGCTCATTACCCTGAAAGTTAGTTCACTTCTCAGAAGGCACCGATCCTCTTCTCTCTGTTAACATTTCGTCTTTATGAGTCTTTGAATAACTCCCATCGCTCTGATGTGGTGCATGAAGAATCCAAACGAGGGTCCGTCCAGTATTGCTCAGTCTTCCCTTTGCTTTACGTCCTTTAAAGCCTCGATATAGTCCGGCCTTTGCCTCCCTTGAACTTGACCAGAAACTTCAAAACGAAGAGCAATCCCTTTTCACCAAATCAGTGACGAAGTATGAAGAGAAAAGACTGAGCTACAGTAAGTGTGCGAACAACAGGACGGGCTGTGGATAACTGGAGCAGCCAGTGGGAGGGAAAGAAAAGGGAGTTTACTACTGTTGACCCCCTTGTCTATAAAAACACACATGCATACAGGAAAAGAATAAGATTAGGTGGGGGCAGGGTGCAGCAAGGGGAACATGCTGGAACATCGTTCGGAAAATGTGGGGAACATTTGTCAGAGAGTTTGTGGATCTGGAACCGGTGTTCAGCTGTGAGCACATGTCTGAAATAAACTCTGCGAGGCACTGCGGTCGACATGGACATTACTTCACACCTGATGAATTCAAGAGGTCAGATTGGCCAGCTGTCTCACTGCCAACAGCGGGGGAATGGTGATAATAAGCATTGTAAGTATGTGTGAAAAAGAGAGAGAAATATTGCAGAAGTGAGAGGAGCTTGATAAAAAAAATAAAATAAAAAATCCTCTTTGTTTCAGGCTAATATTGACAGCACCCAAATATAAGCGTATTAAAACCAGTCCCCTTTATTTTACGGCTTCTCCACAGTCTGCCACTGCCCTGACACCATCAGTCATGTAAGGTCGGATCAGTAGCAACAAGCGCAAAGTGCAAACACCAGACAGGCAGGGCTCCCAACTTACAAATTACTTTCCAGCATGTTTCACGGTTCTTGCCATCCTACTTGACCTAAAGACACTTTAGAGAGCATGTGTGTGTCTGAGGAAGAGTGAAAGTGACAGGGAGAGACAGTGGATCTCTAAGGACAGGAAATTAAATACATCATCTCAACTGGCTGAGGGAGCAACAGCTGTTCAAGGTAAAGCCAGAGCGAGCAACCTAAACAGTGTGCTAGCTCTACAACACACCACTTTTTGTGGTTTGGAAAAGTGCTGCATTTCTTGATGGATAATGTAGCATGTAATGCATGTAGACCTGGAGCATCCAGAGTAACCCAACCTTATATGAAAATAAATACCTTTCCCTTTGGCCATCAACCCCCACTGAGCTCCCAGTTTCTAAAATCCAAAACCGAGCTTTTCCAAACCACATTTTAAACGTCTGATAACACTGGTGTTGAGTTTTGGTGTTTCAGTGAAGAGCAGAATTTCTGAAAAATGCCCAGACACATTTGAGGAATGTGCGTCGGTGCAGTTAAAAAACACAAACGTCTGTTACTTCTTGTTCCTTTGTGCAAATTAAAAACTACAATTCATCAAAACACACAATACAGGTGCTATCATTAACCTGCATTAGACAGCTCTGGAATCTTAAAAATAGTACTTTGATCAACATCTCAGTGCAGGCGTGCATGAGTTATGAGCTGATAAAAATGCCAATTTTATGCTAATTTGATTGTCTGATAAAAAGATGGAAAAATAGATAACTGATAACAACTAACTGAGGGGTCCAGTTGGATGCTGTTATTGGAACCC